AATTACATTTAGAAATCGAAAAATTAATAGCTACCAAAGTTAATAAATAAGATATAATTAAATAAAATCTGCTTTTTTATTATTTATATAATTTTGATGTAACTTATATTTTAATATTATTACTAGAATTGTAACGAATTGAAAGAATTAATTAAAATACAAATAATTATAAAATTAATAAGATAACGTATCTGTATGCAGTAACTGTAAGCATATCGTACAATTGATAATTTTAAGGAAACAGTGGTATAGGTAACTAATTAAAAAAAAATTATGATAATTTAGGAATTTAGTTATGGGCCATTTCGAATAATAAGGATACCAGCGATTTACAAGCAATCTTTTTTGCCTTATTTACCACGTTCTCGAGCATTTAAAAGTGGGATAACGGAAGTTCTGAATTTTGTTAGAGATAGTATAGAGGATTTATTAACAAAACGTGCCATTGTATGTACAGTAGATAATTCGATAACTGCCAGAGACTTCTCCTCAAATCTAATGTTTATGGACGAGGACGAACTTGAACGATTGAAGCAAAGCAAAGAACCAGAAGGTAAGACCTGGTGAATGATAATATTCTTTTTTATTATCTGCTTACAATTTTTTTCCTTATTTTGTCAACGTTCAAATATTCTTATTTATATTTAAATATACTGATGGTTATTGTGTGCTTTATATTAGTTTTGGAGGCTCTTGAAAGATTCTTGAAATTCTTGTAATGATATATTGGCAGTAACAAAGAAAAGGTGTATTTCAAGATAACGGGATATTCAAATTCTGATGTATTCGACAGTGTAATCGTAGTTTCTGTTGCACTTTGTTTCGGATAACGGTGAACGTTACACGTAACAAGTATTATCATTGCAAAAACTGTGCAATCTACAATGTTCTACATATTTGAAAAAAGCGATGAACGCGACGGTGAAATGACAGAGTTTACTACCTTATATTTCTTGTAACGGCAACGCGATATCAACAATCGTATAGGCTGTAATAATGTTTGACAATTTTCAATCGAGGCTCAAAGATTAATATATTATTTGTCTTACAGGCGATTGGCGAATTTTTAAGAAGAAGAAGTCTATAATCTTACCCGTTCTCATATTATTAAATTTAATAAAACTAAAACTACTGCTACTGCCAATTTTTCTAGGAGTTCATTTTATCAAAAAGCTTCTCGTACTTGGATCGTTAATTTTACCATCAATATTTGCGCATTTAAAGATTTGCAAAGTACAACATCCTCATACGCATCATTCACATCCTTTCCATTTATGGTCCACTGCAGCGGACTCGACAGCAGATTATCCAACAGGTGAGATTGTTTAAAAAAATATTCTTTTCACTTCTAATTGCTTCTAATTCACTTCTAAAAATTCTATGTTATATAAACAAATTATATATACATTTACCATCTTTGATAAAATTTTAAAACTTGTATAATATAAAAACTTGTATAATATAAAAAATAAAATTTTTAAAGTGTGATTCCATTTATTTGGTTAGTTATGTCTACAAATTATATTATGAACTTAATTTATAATAAAAATGTGTCATGCATTTATTTTATGTTGTTGAATATACTAATGTAATGAAACAAAATGTTTTGTAAAACTAGCACGACACGTCGCGCGTTCATCGCTAATATAATTATATATTATATAGGCTAAGTTAAGATAGCATCGTTCAACTGTAACGGATGATACCACCTTTACAAACACCTTTACATATGACGTATTTACGTTGACATAAACATATTTAATGTTAGCCAACAGCGACGAGTATTAGATTTGAAACAGTTGCGAGAGTACGTTCCGATAGTGTTTTATGTTTATCTATATGTGCCTGTAATGCTTCCTTTGAAATCTTTAATGTTACGTTGCATGTCACGACTATTTGACGCGTCAATAATACTGAATTTTTTTTCCATACAAATTCACACACTTTACAAATTTACAAATACAAACTTACAAACTTTACACACTTTAAAGAAAAATCTTGATATCTATTTATTTAGAACATCATAATTCTATAATACGCATTTCGATATTTTTTTTACAGGATACGGACAAGATGACACTAACTGGCACAGAAACGATTACCAGCTGGGATATCCAAGTTATCAAATACTTCGTAATCCATACGGGTGAAAATCATCGTAGATTAGTATCGTGACCAACAAGAATTTCGTATTTGTTATCTTTCGATAATCTTTGGCCCGACGTGTTAATTATATATATCGAGACACGTAAAATTTTTAACATTTTAACGAGAAGTGCAATTACTAGATTAATCTAATTATGGTCCGTGTAATCTCAGTAATTTTCCGTAAAATTGCTCATGGCGGTCATAGTGAATTAATACGTGCTGAATGAACGTCGCCAAGCACTTATCTCGGCTACGTTCATTCGTCGCTCATTCTAGCAACGAACACTCGGCGAAATAACTTTCACATAGTTTACCGTTATTTAAGGTACCTATCGATAAATTTGTAAGCCTTTGCAGCTTGCAGATTTTAAGAAAGGATATAGTGTTAACGATACATCCGGCTCTTTCTTAAAATTCATATTAAACAAATGGGAACGCATGAAAGAGGATAAAATACCTGTTTTCTTTAAATTTAAAAAATTTATAATTTATGCAACTTTCTATCCTTTATCTCTTCTATCCTTTTATATTATTTATTGCTAATTCCACGTTAAAATTACGTCGGATATGTGTTCATTGCTGGTTAACTCTGATTCATTATAATTCGATAACATTAATACAAAATATTTTCTTAATGCAAAACTGTAATCTTCCAGAAGAAGTTTATTTTTAAAATATCGTGCATAAAAAAATACCTCTCAGCTATAATCAAAAGACTTATAAAATTAATATCCCGACATAGATTAAAGATACAATACTTCTTTTAAGTGTAGCACTAATAAAATAAAAAATGTGACTGAGAAAATGCAGTTGCAGATTTTTTATTAATGTTATCGATTTATAAATATTTTAATTATATTAAATTATCACGTAACTATCATGTCGATATAGCTCATGTAACATAATTCAATTACCTTCGTTTATTTTCTAAATATGCGAGTATATATCGATATACAGCGCGAAGTGCCTGTTGATCTTTGACACCACCTCTGGCTTGTGCCATATTGAGTTTCTTCCTTCAAATGTGAAAATCGGTGGATCGCCATGTTAAATAAACGGAAGGATTATTCGTGGTCAAGGTCACTCGACCGAGTACGATGGCCCCTCTACTGACCTACTAACAGATTTGGACAAGCGCCCGGTTTGTGGCTGAAACGCGTTCACAAGCCGGCTCATGTGCCATTGTAATGTGTCCGTGCGTCTACCTTGACCAAATGTGTCAGTGTGTGTGTGTGTGTGTGTGTGTGTGTGTCGTACACACACACACACACACACACACACACACACAC